TTATTTTAGAAGATGCTTTTCCTACTGCGAGCTGATCCTAGCCCTCCCCCCCCGACATGACCAATTGTGCCCTAAAAAGGAACAACTTGCCTCAGTGGTTTACATTTGTGCTCACATTAGGATATTACCCAAAAAACATTAATATTTTTGAGTGTGCAAATAAAAAAAAAGTAACAAAACCAGTAAATGAACAACCTTGGTTTTATTTATTATATTTTTAAATTCAAAACTGTTTTCCACTGCATATGTAGAAGTGTAGCCTTCAGGTGAAATGTATCTGTCTGCATACAAAAGAGAAGGAATTAATTCTCGCAGCAACAGCAGCTACTCTGTTTGTGCAGTGCTAGTGCAACAAGGCGAGTGGAGCCACAAAAACAGGGTGGAGCCGCCATAGGAACTGACTCAGTCTGTCCTGAGCAGCAGTGGCAGTTGTGATGGAGACTCTGTGTATGCTAGCCCTCCTGCGTGTGTGTGTGTGTGTGTGTGTGGTGTGTGGCTGCTGAGCCAGCAGTATTTCAGGTGTTTGTGCAGATTGCGGTCGACTATCTCCCCCCTGACAAATACCAGTGTTTGTGTGTAACCTGCCAAAGCTTCTGAGCCCCTTTGTCCATGGGAATGGCCAGCTGGTCAGTGTGCTGCTGGAGTTCAGTAGCAGCAGTCACACCCTTGGTGTGGTGTCCAGCCAGGGAGGTGACAGTGCAACTGAGCCCTCTAGTGGCTTCTCAGCAGCAAAGAACGATCAGCAAGATTTCTTTGGGCGTTTATTGACTATGTAAACCTTGTTATTCAGGTAGCTTAGCGTCAGATGATAAATAACAAATTACATGAACGCATTCATTTATCATTTATGAGTAGAGCAGTGTTTGCTCTGTTGTTAATCTGCCTGATTTCCACCAACAGCCTCTCCTATTCTCATTCCAGGTGATGGTGTCAAAGGGAGTCTTCTACCGCTGGGCGTTCTACACTCCAGACGGTCCGGCTCTGGATGAGATCAGGAGGCTGGTGGATGCAGGGAAGGTACGGTACGGTACGGTACAGTACTGCTGTAGAGACCCCTCAGTGTCACTGGGTGAGGAGCGAGGGGACGAATGAGATCTTCTCATTTACAGTTCTGTCACAGCTGAGTAATGCTGGTGTGGAGGGTGAACTGTGTTGCTCTTTATGAGAACACGCTATGGAAACCATACTGGTCTGCAATTAAGGCTCCCCCAGTGGCTTTGTTAAGGAGCTGCTGAGCTGGTTGGTCGCACCAAGCTGTGCAGTGTTGGCTGCTGGGTAATCAGGTGCAGGGACAGATGATGGAGCCTTTGACAAAGCATAGGTAAACCTTTGTCGTGAGGATTTCATCGAGCTGCAGTTAGGACAGATGATGGAGCCTTTGACAAAGCGTAGGTAAACCTTTGTCGTTAGGATTTCATCGAACTGCAGTTACAGTACACACACACACACATACCAGTGTCAGGTCACTGTGACCACACACTAACACTCCGTGTTCTATTCTCACTGAGAAGTCCTGATGAATTCCGGCTGGACGTCACTGTACTGCTCGTCCATTGTTACCAGAAAAGGGGAAGCTGACCGGAATAACAAGGGCTGAGGGATGAAGCTGCACAGGATTGTTCAGCCTCATCACATTCTCAGCGCCTCCCTCACCCTCCCACAGTTGGAGCTTTAAAAAAGATAGGCTCGTATTTGTGGTAAACATTTCTTACATACAAGTCCTAAAATCAGCACTAATGAGAAAACACAATCATTTATGATTTACTTGTTTGGTGAATTTAATCCATTATTTTGACTTTGTCAAAAAAGTTCTAAGTACCCAGGGTTGTCTCTGATAGTAGAAGACCTGTCGGAATGTTTTGTGCTGACTGATGAAAGGCTCCGCCCACCCAACATCGTTTAATCAGTGTTTGTTTTTGGCTTTCAGTTGTTTTTTTGTTTTTTTCACAGATCCTTCCGGTGGTGGAAGCTCAGTTTCCTTTCACCCAGGTTCCTCAGGCTTTTCAGAAGATGGAGCAGGGCCACGCCAGAGGGAAGACCGTGGTCCAGGTGGTGGAGAACGACCAGAGTGAGGTTGCACAGCAGAACATGGGCACAGACACTGTGGATTTAGACCTGGGAGATCAACAGACTGCTAAACCAGCCTCATAACAGACCAGAGTCGAAGCCACTGGGACCTGGTTCACCTGTACAAGTCTGTTTTTGTTTTCCTGACTTCTGCTTCTGGCAGAAAAAAAAAAACAAAGCGCTGCAGCTAACTGTCAGACTTTAAGCGTGCTTAGCATGTGCTATGAGCGTGTGTTTTCGTGTGTTGTTAAACCACACACTCTTGTGTTAAAGTTATTATCAATAAGGCTCAAAAGATGCCCCAAAACATGTCTGTAATTCACTCTGGCACCTAGAGGTGTCACTGTTCATTCAGCACTCAATCAGTTTAGAGTTTTGATACCCTTGTGTACCACTAGGGGTACTCCAGCTCGTTACCTAGCAGGAAATTACAGTTACAGTTACTCTGGGGTATTTTTTGACGCAACAGTTGCGTAAAAAATGTTAAATACACCTGAGAAATAAGTCAATATTTTTTAATGTGGTCAGTTTGTTTATATATATCGTACCAGAAAAAGCAGTGCAGAGGACATTGAGCAAGGTTTTTATATTTCATTTCATTATTGGGAAAGTACAAGCAAAGGAAAATAAAGGTTTATTTTCAACATTATTACAAAAAGTACAGCTCTCATTTTACTGTACAGTGTATTTGCAAATTTATTGACACGTAAAATACTTAATATTTGGTTACCAAAATAGCCTTGTGTATATTTATTGATTAAATGATGGTGAATGACTTTTCAAGGTAAACTCATCTTTTCCTCCTCTTGCTCAGTTTCCATCACTTACATGGCGCAGGTGTTAACACTGTTTGAGTTACTTAACATCGAACTTGTTTTTTGAAAGTTTAAAAAAAAAAAAACAGATGGGACTTTTATGCCTCTTTGGTTGGTTTACATTTACATTTGTGCAAGTTTAGCCGTCGATTTACCCACTGACGTCGTCATTGGAAGCTATTCGTTCTTTTTCAGTAAACACTTTATCGTTCTCTGTAGTACCTCCACTGTGGTTCAGTTAAACAAAGCCTCTGATAATGATAATAATAATATTATTCATAATAATAGTTTCCTATTCAGCAGCTCAGAGGTCCTCAGAGAATCTCCACGTCCCACCTCTGTTGGGGTTTTTTAGGATCAAGTGAGTTCAGAATGACCTGGTTCTTGTCGTAGTCTTTGCCTCCTAAAAGAAAGAAAAAAAGAAAAATATTAATTCTGGTGAATTTATTTTTTAACGTCACATAAACAGTTTTATATCCACTATCAATTTTTTTTTTTTTTGTTAAAAAGTTGAAGCTTTTCTCGCCGAGATCCTGTCGGTGGTTTATTGGAAGGGGCTTCTGTTCTCCACTAGATGGCACTACTTACAGCTTTATGAGCAGTGTGTGATACAAACAAGTGCAGGATTTTTTAGTCATTGATGTGTAGATGTTGGGGGGGGTGGAGAGGGGGGGTTTGTTGTTGCATATAAATATGGAATAATTTGAGTTTAAATACGACTTAAAGGCATAAATGAGTTACAGAAATATGTTCACGTTCCCTTTCTGCCCTCAACAATGGGTTCATTATGGACTCGCTAAATGCAAAATAACAAGCAAATACTGTATGTTGAACAAGTAGACAAACGACTGTAAGACAAACAGTGCCTGACTTTTATATCCTGGGGGGTCGGTGGTGTACACCCCCACCTCTCTTCTAAGTTGTGGAGTTTTAATCAGTTTGTTCACCTTTGACCTCCAGAACCAGATTGGCTGTGGAGAAGTGTCTGACGAAGCCCTCAGGCGTGATACTCCACAAGTGGACCTGTGGGTCAGGCGGTGGGTTGAGACCCACACGGCTCCCTGCCATGATCACACTCCCACTGGGACACAGGCGGCACTCCTCCAGCAGCTGCACACAAAGAAAGGAACAGATAATAATAGTCATAATAGTCATAATAATTATATATATATTTTTTATAATTATTGTGCGATGGCATTAAGAAGAAGGTGGGGACTCGGGCTGGTCCGGCCCCACACTGAACAAACACCCATCTGGCTTTTGTCTCTGTGTAGAAAAGGACACAATCATCCCATTCATGTTCCTGCCAGGATCAAATGACTCAGCCTTGGTCAACATTCATGGAAATTACTTCAAATGCTCTGATACAGCAGTGGGTTTTTTTTTCAGTCTTGTAACATGATGAAAGCCTGTTCCTGCCTCTCACTGACCTTTAGTTAGACTCAATATAAAGGAGGAAGACAGATGAAATGGTTTTATTCCAAAGGAGGAATTTAATTAGTGAGGTGAAAAAAAATCATTTTGTCTGTTACAAACAACGTGCTGTGGTAGAATTTCTGACCATTTTATTCATTTTATTTAATCACAAGACTCCAATCCAAATCCCAGATTATGGATTCAGTGGTATGAGGCTGAGGTCAGGTATGAAATATAAACCAGTGTCAACTTATTAATTATTCATAGTGTTTATTCCCATGTAGAACCACCTCTGACCTCTGACCCCAGAGCAGTGTTAATATGGCGACAGTGTGGTGTACCTTGCAGTGTAGAAATCCATGCTGATAAATCCAGATCTGCTCCAGTCCGTCCGTCTCCTCCTTCTCTTGTATCCGCAGCAGTTTGATGTCGTCCAAGTCGCCCGTCACTGACATCATCAACCCACTGTGTCTGTTCCTCAAACGGAAGTGAGCCTGTTTCTGCTCGGGAAAAATACAATTTAAAAATTCTTAAATCTTTTATAATTCTCCATAGATATTATTTAAAAATCAGAATATGAGATACTAGTGCTAGTGGTTAAATGTTGAAAATGATTACCGTTCTAACTTGAGCCTCATGACTTTGTCTTCATACAGGTTTCTTTTATTCTCTTTTTTAAATTTATTTCTGAGTAAAGTATATATATTATATTTTATTATATTTAGGCTAACTCTTACTTACCTCTGGACTATATATTAGCCAAGTTTTTGGCTTTAGCTAACTTTAGGCAGTTAAAGATCGATGGACTGTGTTTTCAAGGACAGGTTGAAACATTTCCTGCAAGTTTAAAGCAATAAAAAACCATTGTGTCCATTTCAAAGGCAGTTGTTAAGGTCATCTCGCCCTGAGTTTTTGCTTATTTGTGACGTCTAACACAATGGAGCGCTGATTTCCTGTTGTTAAAATCAAAACGACTTTGTCATGACGGGGTCATTAGAATTTACCTGTAGTAAAGGTCGCGCGGAGCCTATCTTATTCCAGCTGCTGAAGCTCCTCCAGTCCAGAATCTCCCCAGGTCTCAGTAAAATCTGCTCCCCCAGATAATTGATGCCTTCGTACAGAACCCAGCTGGGAGCAGAGAAAAGAGCATCACAGATGAAGCGTAAGCAGCAGAGAAACGGCTCTTTTCTCTAAAGCTAATGCGTTTCTTCAAATACTTGCTGCTTCGCAGACAGACTGTAAGGCAACATATAATTTAAAGCAGTTATTTTTCCTCTGTTTTTCCCTTTTGCATCGGCTGCCGAGGCAGTAAGCTGATTGGAAGTGGGCCACAAATAAACCCAGGACGTGAAAATGATTTCCTCGATTAGATAGAGATGGGGGGGGGGGGTGGGGGGGGGGGGGGGGACTGTAGATAGTTGAGTAGTGATTTGATCTGAAACGTTTCAAGCATCACAGTATTTTTACAGTCTAAAAACACAAATACAAATGAATCGACTGTGAGCTTTGTGATAACAACTTCATTTTCAGAGGCCATAAAAGACTGAAAACTGACTAAACTTTCATTTGAATTCTACAAGAATAGGACCTTTAATTTGACTGGTTTCCTTTGAAATCCAAAAGTGCTTTAAAAATAGTTTAAATGAGGTCCGGATCATTTACATTACTGGTCTAATCCAGCCCTAAACAATTCAAATCAGTCAGTGATTTGAGTTGATTTTTTTTTTTCCATTTTCACTAATTTCCTTCCACAGCTTGACCACAATCCTTATATATATAATAATTTTAAAATTCCAGAAATATAGAGAAAGCAACATCCTTTTTTTTACATCTAAATAATGAGAAAAAAAAATCACTTGGCATGCAGGGAACAGCACTGCAAAGCTGCATCTGCTGTTAATGGCTCTAAATGTGCTGAGCTCTCCAGATGAACCTTTAATCTCTGTGGGTTTTTTTTTTTTTTACTTTGGCCACTCTCCCATCGCTCCTGTAGTATGAATGTGCCACTCCACCGTCAGCCCTGGATCGCTCTGTGCCCTTTTATTTCCTCAGCGTGCACTCGCATCTCCAGCCTGAATCTCACACATCAACAGCAGGTTTCCAGCTGTCAGCCCTGTCACTCTGTGATATACTGTAGATAATAATCTGCAGCGCCAGCTCTGCTGTCTGCCTCCAGTAACACATGTCATCCTCCCACCTGTTTCTCATAAGGCAAATCTTATATTGTTTGACTGACAGTTCTGGATTGATCCTGAAATATTAAGTATATATGACATACTTTTTTTTTTTTAAAAAAATGCCGAAAACGGGATTTGTTGTTATTTGTTGGACTGAAAGCTGAAGTGATTGAACAGGATATTATACAGCGTCTGGGATTGACCCTGATAAACCTGATAAGGGTAAATGAAGGAAGGCCAACACAGACTGATATTTTTTTAAAAGCTCTCAGTGCTCTGCTTTGTCTCCTGAGATTAACTTTCCATCATTATCTGTGTTATTGCATCAACAGAGCCAAACACAGACAGGTGCCGCTTTTTTTTCATACAACGTAACTGAAGTGGATTTCACTGATATTTCAACATGATAAGAACCAACGCAGGAATTCATCAGAAGTTTTAAAAGAAACTAGTTGTGATGCTGCAGAGCCTCCAGTGGGAAAATTGTAGGGGATATTAATATTCTGTTTCTTGTGCTGCGTTCACATCACAAAGAGAGCGAGGTTTCACGGATGAATCGTCACATCAAACAGATATTTGTCACGCTGTACTCACATGCCTCCTTCCACCAGCACAGACTGTACTCTGCTGCAGCCTTCTGACAGCTGGAGGTTGACCGATCCATCAGTCAGTACCACTCTCTTTCCCCGAAGACCGCAGCGCTCAAAGAGCGTGATGGAAGGCAGCGAAAATTCCTGTGAGGTGACAGAAAGAGAGGAGAGACACATTTAATGAACTCCACAAAAGCGTTTTTATATGTAGCAAAACGTGCAATACTGCAGCACAAGACTGAGGAGTAGAAGAAGAATAAGTGAAGTGAATGGGCAGAAACTCACAAATCCAACCGGCTGTAGTGATCTGATGGAGGCGCTGCCCTCATCACAGCCCACTGCTCTCAGGTCTGGATAACTGCCCACCTCCAACACGTGCATCCTGCCTGTGAAGTCCTCACCATCAAACACCAACCAGCTGGGTTTGATTGGCATTACACACACACAGACAGAGAACGAGACAGAGACATTTGTGAAGTGTTTTTATGGACAATGACAATTCTTTCTTAAACCTGATCATCAGTGATTTGAGTTGACATTTGACCCTAAACTACTTGTTGTTTCTTTCTTTGGTGCTGTTCTGTTATCTGTTAGCTAACAATTGGCCAACCTTTTGTTATTCTGTTGGTTAAGGTTAAGTATGTTATTAACATACTAGATATTAAATCTACAATATTTTTATTATTTATTTCAGTCAACCTTTACTCCACTATAGGCCAATGTTTAGCTGCTTTGTTGGCCATTTTTTTCCATTAATTCATGATAAGGACATCACTGATCTTTTGGGCAAATACGTAACGTTATCTTCCAGCTAATTTCTTAGCTTTAACTTGAAATTCTGTCTGATGTAGATACAAGTTAAATCTTAGAGGATTGGATCATGGCAGTTACAGGAGGTGCAGTCCTCCCCTGACTAAGGATTGACATCAGTTCTGGTGCTCCCACACCAGTAGTTTAGCATGAACCAGAGCATGGATAATAACTGACCCACCGTGTGTGACCTGTTAAAGGGTGAGAACACATGAAAGAATCATTTCCAGCTCACCTGCCGGCCACTACTTTACAGGAAGCCACAGAGAAGGAGTCCTGCAGGGACGGCACGCTGTCCTCCAGGGTGAGGACGGAGCCCTGAAAGCCTGCATCAGAGAAGAGCTGCACCTGAGGTGAAAACAACACAACACAACAGTTACTCACTGAAAACAGCCTGAGGTCAGGAAGGCGTGTTCTTCACACGCCGTTATTATCCCCTACCTTGAACTTGGCCGCTCTCTCGAAATCATCCTGAAAACAAAGAACATAACGAGGCTCATTAAAAAAACTCAAATTACAGCTGTTTGTATGTAAGTGTGTCATGAGCAGATAATAGGACTCCAAGCTTTGGAGGAAAAGGCCTGAAAACCTGAGTCACTTCGCAGTAATTTTATCCAACTGCAGCACAGTTTCAGGATGACTCACTGTGGCGATGTTTTCACTTCCCGTCTTGTGACCAGAATTTTCCTCATGTGCCCCAGGAGAATAAATCTGCTGCTTTTTATGCATGGATTTTGTAGTTTGAGTAATAATCTACAGAGAGTTTTAATCCTATCACACTAACACGAACATTACGACTTCTGCTTCTTCTAACTCTGTCCTGTTGTTGCTGTCATTTTCCCTGGTGTGGGGTCAATAAAGTGTAATCTATTCTAATCTAATCCACTGTAAAAGTGGATCTATAAAGTGTAATCTATTCTAATCTAATCTGTAAAAGTGGAACATGTTTTGCCAAACTGTGGTTATATAACTGGGAAAATTTAGAACAGAGCTACAGGCATTCTGTTGGAAAATCCCATAATTAGTATCCAAGGAAAACAAACATGTGAATAAAGGAATGTTGCCCCAGAACTTTTAGGAACTTTTAAATAGAATTTACAGCCAACTATGTAACAGTGTGAATGTGTAGTGTGTATAGTGTATAACAGTGTGTATGTGTGCTGTGTACTGTATTACAGAGCTATTTTAATCTTTCTTTTTTTATCTTTATGTTTGTGTTAAGTACTAAAAATGTCAGCTAACTTTTAGCTACCTGACCTAAATGACACTGCCTGGCAAAGGTGTGTGTGTGTGTGTGTGTGTGCTGTGGTATAGACTTTTACCAGCATGACTGGCATCACAGAGCCAACTCTGGGCTGCAGGGCGCCCCAGTCTTCTGGACTTCCGTACAGGCCTTTCTCCAGGATGTAGGACTCACCACAAAAACCCGGCTCCTCAAAGGCGACCCACCTGCAGAGAAAACAACAAAATGTTGGAATAATTGATTTATTTGGCGTGTGGGTGGATTTGAGCCATCAGTTATTTCCTCATACAAACAGTCTGTGTTTGCATTTCTCTCTGTGTTTGTGTTTTAACAACCGCACAGAACCAGACATATGCTTATGGGGGGGAGGGGTGGGTGTACAACATGGGTGAGGCTGTGACTAATGCCAGGGTGGAAGTTAGTACATTAGTTAGTATGTTTTGCATTTCATGTTTGTGATTTACCTCTGGCTTTGTTTCTCCTAGCATCTCTGAACAGAAACCAGACGGCCCTTTATAACCTCTGTGACAGTCAGTAATTATGTATACAGATTTAAAAAAGACTTGTTGTAGATTGTTTATTATTGTTAACCTTTGCCTAAGCTTTTATAACCTACCACTAAGGTTTAGGTTGAACTTTATTGATCCAGCACAGGGATAATAATTATAAATATTAGTTCATAGTTCATGTTTCTACTGTGCAGAAGATTATCAGACACATCCTAGAATAATATTTATTTCTCTAGCTTTAGTGGAGTCATTTAGCCTGTTTGAGAAAATGACTTTCACTGACAGGTCGTAAAATGTGGGAGACCAAACAGTTGTAAAAGACTTCATGAGTCTGGACCTGTCAGCTTGGGTGTGGCAGAGTAACTGCTCCACACCTGAAAAAGAAAAAAACAGCTTTGAACCACGAGAAGAATTGCACAAATCTGCTGCTCCTATTTCTTATCTGCAGAAAAACTGTGTGGAAAAATCATTTACTCTCACAGAGAAACAGAGGTGAGAAGAAACAAAAGTGATTATGTTTGTTTTTAAATAAAATGTAGGATAAGATTCAAAATAAGTAGTAAAGAAGTAAAATAGTATCATAAATTGAATTTCTAAGACAAAACTTTGAAAGTTACTGCTTCTTGCTTAACCTGAATTAGTGTTTTAATTACATTTTAGCAGGTAACTGCTAAAGCATCCTGTCTGCTGATTCATGCTAGCTATGGCTAGCAGTTAGCAGCTACTGCTAGCCAATGCTCACCTGAATTGAATCAGCAGGCTAAGCCAGGGTTGCCAATCAACAGCCAACCAGTGAGCTGCTTACTTGGTTAGCACGTTTGGATTTTCCACCTGCTGTGGTAAGTGATTAGCAGCTGAGCTCACTTATTTAAACTATTTTCTTCACAATTTCATTTGGTTTTTAAGGTAACTCTGAGTAGTATTTCAACTTTTAATGTATAAACTTCCTCTGAGTTCCTTTTCTTTTTAGCTAGACCTTTTTTGCCAGGTCTAGCTAACTGAGCTACAGACAAATGACTAATTTAGCAATGCTGTAGCTATTGAGGCTAACTTGTTTTATCAGTTAAATACACGAGGTATTTAGCTTAACTCTCTGTATGTTATGTTGGAAATTGTATATATTTATTTTGACTAACATGTACAAATGTTTCATATCTTTAGATAACTTTGAGCTTACTTTGCTGCAACACTGGACTGTTTTTTTAATGAAATACTTTTGCACAACACAACATTTGTGCGTGTTTCAAACAATCCAATAGCTTTAACAAAGGCATTAAATCAACCTTTATTTTTCTGTGTTAAGCCTTAAAAAAAAGTAAAATAATCACCACTTACACACCACTCATGACATCAATCGACCGTGTTTTCATGCCGAAGTCGCTGTCGTCCATGTTAATGACAGGCACTGTCAGGTCGATGTTGGCTCCCAGGTTGCCAAAATCTTTGTCACTGAACATTTTAATGTGTGGGGACATAAAATCCTGTATCAAGGATAAAATAGATAGATATAAAATATTATTTTGGAGAAAATGAGAAGAACATCCACTCTGAAATCCCATTAATTAAACTGTATAATAATAACTATAACAAAGTTTAAAAAAGTATCAAGTGACATTAATTAATGCCTCCTCTCAGTATTTATTTCTGTTTGTGTGGGCACTCATGCTATTATAAAATAAAATATATCAAGAAATACACATTAAAAGCTAAGCAAACCTTTCACCCATAAAATTAAAGTTGCTTTTTTAATTACTGTATGTTAGATAAATGTGGGTGGAGGTTGTAGTGAGGTACTCACAGACAGAACTGGCTGCAGTGACAATAGGTGCTCTGCTCCTCCCCAGTCATTAAAGTCCAAGTATTCTCCTTCCTCCAGTATGTACTGTTGGCCTTCAAACCCTGGCAGACTGTAACCTACCCAGCTGCAGGTCGACAGTCGACATGGAAATGAATGACACCATTTGCAGTATTGTTTTTACAAAATAAAATTTTTTTTTTTTGCAGTATTGTTTTTACAAAATAAAACACATAACAAAAAAGTGTAAAAACTCACAGTCCTCCAAGAATCTTCAGAGAACCGATGGACTTAAAGTTCAAATTCTCACTTTCATCAACATCGCTCTCTGAGAAGCTGAAAATCTCACTGTCAATTTCCAAAAAGTCTCCTTCAAAGCCCGGTTTTTCATACACCAATGCCTGAGGTAAAAGGTAGACAATGATTAAATTAGATGAGATTAAATTAGAAAAATACAATAGGAAATCAAGGTCTTGAAAATACCAAGATAGGATATTTAACCTTTCATGCCATGAGAATAACTTGTATTGCACAGTTTCAACATAACAGTGTTACTGGTAAATAAATACAACATTATAGGGCCATAAAATAGAAAATTAAGAAATACATACCCTGACTTCACTGGGATTTTCCACTTTAAAGCCGCCCTAAAAGACAGACCACATGTTAAAGTATTTAAGGTCAGACTGCTTCTTCACACTTCCATTAGGTGACATTACCATAATTTATTACAATTCATTCACACACTATTGCTTCAATGTTAATCCCAGCAACCTGGGATTAGACCTAATTCTCAATACATCAATTATTTTTACTCATTCTAAACAAGATAACAACAACCGTCTCTCCATCTCCTGTGCCAGACTGTCTCGACTACATGCAAAAAAAAAAACATAAAGATGACTAAGAACATTAACTGTTGCACACGCACCATTTTGAGTGGTCTCAGAGATCCAACAAAAGGTGCTGTAAACCCCCAGGTCTCTGGAAAACGGTAGACTCCTGTCTCCAGCACAGCCAGCATTCCCTGGAATCCTGGGTCACTGAACACCAGCCACCTGAAGAACAAACCAAAAAAAGCTTCTTCCGTTGGTTTTACATCACTGGATTTGATGTATTAGCTTGAAAGGTTGTATACTTGGGTCATAACAAGACTGAACGATGATTTTCGCTAAGTATTTGTCTGCAATGATACTGCCCTTGTGTTTTACTGTTTTCTCTGTTAGAAGAAAAGACGAAGAAAGTGTAGGTGGGTGACAGGAGCATCTCACAGGGAGCTGCACAGAAGACTAACTACTGTAAGTATTAAATTCAAATACAATTTCACAGATATCCTAGCCTTTTCTAGGTATTTTTATTAGTACTAGATTGATTATCAAATAGCAATATCTTACACGTTACCCAATGGTAATGAAACATTTCAGCTGTGACACATCTGAAATGTTCTGTTTCTACCCAAGGTCTCAAGGTAAGCCTGCATGAATAGTTGTGGGAAAACAGTGTGTTCCTCAGGGGCAGGGCACAAATGTCTAGCGTCTGCCTTTTTGTGTGTGTGTAAAAAAACATTCCTCCCTGCCAATTTTTTTTTCACACCTTTATCTGTTTGTCAGTCTCCACCCCTCCAAATTTTCCAAATATCAGCCACACCCACTTTCCCTGTTTCTTTGACGTGCAACAGCAGGAAAGACATTCCTGAAGAGGGAACTCTTTGGTGAGTCAGATCAGAAGCACCGGTGAGCAAAGGGGTAAACTAATGATTATTGTCCCTCAGCTATTTGCCGAAGCCAGACTCAGAGAGAATCCCATTAAAATAACAGCTCAACAGCAGACAGGGTTTCCAGAGTCTCCTCCTTTAGGGAGACTGAAGTCACCGCAGACCATCTGTGATTGTCTCATTACCTGTTCTCTCTTTAGTATTAGACTGTAACACAAATCAAATGAAACCCTGTCCCCTGGTAACTGCCTCCACATCTCTCTGATCAGTCACACTAGCTGACGCATGCGTCTTAATTATAATTTGTTTGGTGTGTGTGCTTGTTGCAGCGAGGTCATACTCACACGCCAGAGTGCACCTGGATGGAAGCGGTGCTCAGCGGGATGCCGAATGAGCCTGTCTCTATCGCATCATCGTGGTAAGGTGTTACTCTGCCGTGGCCCTCCGGTTCAGTAAACAGATCGATGTGAGGTAAGCTGTAATCCTGCACACAGCCAGGGGAGCAAGTGTGTGAATTACAAGCAGAGGAACAGACTGGTCTTTAAACCATTTCCCTTAATTAAAACATAACCAACGTCTCATTACTGGCCTTCCTGTGTTGAATATCAAAAACACAGTTATTTACATGTCAGGAGGAATCATGGTTTGAATATCAAAAACACAGTTATTTACAAGTCAGGAGGCGTCAGTACTGCAGTGCCAGCACTGACGCCTGCTGTTCTTTACATTATAGTGTCGCTGGAGGTCAGTGAGATTATTTGGTCCCACATTCACCCAGTTGTTCTTGTACATTAATAACAACTGTATTGATGTGGATTAGAAAATGACAATAAGTGAACACAAGACCGTACTTGTCTTTGTATGACTGTTGTATGACTAATATATGACATTTTAAGAGCAACAAATTAAAGGACATGGGGTCAGTACCGATCCTCAGGGAGATGAGTTGATTTAAATCATGCAAATACTAAGTTCGTATTCACGAACTGCCAATACTAAGTTTATAGAGAAATGCAAAATGGAGTCCAGATCAAGATTCAGTCTGAAGTTCCAGTTACAGAATGGTAGGAATGGTAGAAGTGTTGGACCAGCACACTCACCCAGACAGCATGTCTTATAGACCCAATCTGCATTGGTGGGAGGTTCTGAGGTTCTGTCTCCATATCAACCTCTGCCCACATGTTGTCCAGCTCTATTCCTCCTTCCTCCAAGGCTATGCAGCGACCTTGGAAGTCGGGCTTCTCGTAGAGCACCCAGCTGTGGTGGGAATTTATAAAAACATAATTAATTGCAAGCAGTGTTTCGTGGAAATACAGTCGCATCATTTCCAACATTAGGTGCAAGGAATATAAGACAAAACCTTGCTGTGTGGATTTCTTTAATATTTATGCGTCACACAATCAGACTGACACCATTTTTAAAATCCCTCTCCTATCACTGTCATAATTCAATATTTACATGTATTTTTCTTTGCAACGTAGAAAGGAGCTGTTGTGGACCCTTAGACTTCAAACAAGGGTACGATTCTTCTAATCATTTACATTTCACTTTACATCTTGTTATTAAATGTATTGCCCTAAAAGCTTTGGGACAAGTGTTGTCACTTACCATCCTCTGATAACCTTGACAGATATAAGAGGCGAGAGCTGGAGACACGTGGCGTCTGATACATCCCTGTAAATCTCATACGCTTGGCCGCTAAATTCTGCTTTCTCAAATAACACCATCTGTGTGAAAATGAAAAACAAACTGAACTGTAAAAAGGACAAATGATTGGTACATGCAGTCCATTATTCCATACTGTAGTTTGAGTCACTGGGTGCAGCGAAAGAACTAAGTAGGTACAAGCTCTCTCCAGCGAAAGAACTAAGTAGGTACAAGCTTGCATTTCTCTCTTATTAAACATGCCACCAATTAACTTAAAAAAATAATAACTATAACTAGAGCCTCGTGCTCTACTTACTCCTGGTACCTCAAATGACATAAATGACTTTGAAATGTCAGCACACACAGTATTTCTTAATGCCAGTGACAGCAGACGATACAAAGAAATATATACAGGAAAAAAGAATCTGGAATCGCTGCACACCAGAGGAGTGTGTGCAAAGTGGAATCAAACAGACAGCAAAATTTTTGACTGCGTTGGCAGCACAGAATTCTATGTGACTGTAATCACACACAGCTGAGAAGTTGCCTAACAGTGGGGGTTTCATATTTTGTTTACCCCCAAGAACAGCATATGAGAAGCAGATGTTTTTCACAGAACAGAGACTTTTTCTGTACGAGATTCCAAGACTTTTATTTTGGTTCAGAGACGGCAAAGCTAAATCTACTGTACCTTTCCTGGTCGCTTGTGGAAGCCTCTGGGAGTTCTCTCCTGGAATAAATGAGGGAGAAAAAAAAAGCATTAAAATGTGCATAAAAATATCTTTGAACTAATCAGTAAACAGATTCACACTGGAATGTTCAGATCAGGTGCGTTCAAATTCAGGCCCCACGGCCAACTGTTGAACAACGCTACCTAAAATATTTTTATTGTCTCACAGCACAGATGAGCAGATATTTTTGACTGAACTTTTTTTAAGGGCACTTTCAATCATTTCCAGGCCCAATTCTGTAACTCTACTAGCTAACATTTCACCAGTCGTTACAGTTTTATATCTTTACAGAACAAAAAAGCTAACTAGCAAACTCCATTTTCCATAGCTTCAAGTCCACTCTCTGCTAATTCACCCATCGCCTTGATTTGATAACCTGGAATAATTAAACCATTTTATTCGTGTTTATCTTAATTATTGCCACAGTTCAGCTAACCTTTATCACGTTTTATGTGTATTTTAGGTAAATATATTTAAACTTTTTTACATTTTTCTTATTTTTTACTCTCTCTTGTAGATAGATATTATGGCGTAGCACAGCATACAGTACATGACAGAGATATTTGTGTGTAACCAAACTGGACATTTTGTGCTCAACTGTAAAACTTAGTGTCTATTTTTCAGCCTCTGTAATAACAAGTTTTAACAGCACTAATTTTAGAGATAGCTGTGAATGCTTTACATTGTTTTAATAGCTATTCATTACAGTGTTTAACAGGCAAACTTGCACCTTGTGCAAGGTTTCCAGTGACATAGCATATAATCTACACTGTCCACATGTAATAATTAGTGACACAGCAGTGTTATTTGTCCAGTACTGCAGCATTTGTGACAGACTCACATGTGTGGCAGGGATCGCTTGCGGCAGAGTCTTCAGCTGCTCGGGCCGTGTAGTGTTAATGTTTGGTGGAATGACAGGAAAACATGGAGGAGCAGCGTCAGGAAAAGACAGCGGTGGTTTCACAGCCTGATCTGCTTCTCCTCCAGAAACCAGAGTGGTCATGTTTTCACAAACCTAATACAAAGTGAGAAGTCGGTTAAGTCTTGTAAAAACTTTAGAAACTTCTGGTTTTACGCTGGTTACATCCTGACTCTGTTTGGCTTAGACTTGCTAGAACTTGTGTGAGGAATGTTTGGAGTGAAACGTTTGCTTGATGAAAACAAAGAAAAGAACAAGAACAACATTTGAAGTAAATAGGACAAAAACAGGAAACTAACCTTTATGTTGACTTTCACCCGGTCTTGTGTACTCGCTGCGGGGATGGCCGGTTCTCGGTGGCGATACTTCTCCAAATAATCTGGCAGCTTAATGTCGTTGAAGGAAGGAAGTGAAGCTCCTGAGTCATTGGCCACAGCCCCTGCAGGCTGGGTTTCCTCCCTGGGGCTTAGTGATGGTATCTCTTTAACTGGAGTTGAGGTGGTTGGACTTGGGGTGGGTGGAGGCTGGGATAAAGGTGGGGGGCTTTGATGAGGTGTTCTGCTTGGGGACACCTCTCCTGAGCTGGAGGATTCTGCCTGTGTTTGTGCTGCATTTCTCATCCCTGTGAAACTAAAAGAGCTGAGACTGCTGAGGACACAGCTTCCCTCCAAGCGAGACTTCACCTTTACTTTTTCTTTCTTCTCCTCCTTGGCATCCACCTCAGTCTGGACTGATGTTTTATCCTTTGTGTCAAGGCAACTGAGGAGCATGCTTCGATCAGCCAAGCTGGCCCTGGCTGGCTTTAGACCAGACTTGGTATCCAAACCCTGGAGTTTGGCTAAAATACTTGGAGACGTGTCCAAAGAGAACTGCTTCTTTTTCCTTAAGCCAAACTGGAACTCCTCAGGGTCAAAAATCTTCTCGAAGCGGTCCTCCTTGATGGCCGGCATGGCAAAGGGCGGCTGAGGTTGTCGGAGATAGTTGTGTTTGCGGGGTGGGAGAGAGAAGGGGGCACAAAGTTTCTTGATCTTCTCAACAAAATCTTGATCATCCAGCTCTCCAGAATTGTCCAGAAGGTTGCTCTCACTTCCAGCTGAGGTCAGCCTTGGCTCTGAAACTTTAAGTTTGTGTTTGGGAAAGTCCACATCCAGCCAGCTAGAGGGGGCATCCTGTTGTTTACAAGTATCATCCTTACTAAGTCCCCTTGGTATGTGAAGCTTCCTCAAGGCAGGACGATGGCTAGAATCTGGACTTGGCTTTTTAGTGTCTGGGGTAGAGGATGTTTTTGGACTTTGGCTTGCATAGTCATTGGCAGGATCCTTTTTGATAATAAGTGCTTGTGACAACAAGTCACCATTAGGAAAGGATGGAAGTTTTTGTGGTAATGAATCAAAACTTTTATTACAATCTGTGGCTTTTAAAATGCCACTGACAGAAAGACTTGGAGGAACATCTAAAGTTCTGGATGCAAGCTCTTTTACACCCCCTGAGGACTTGTCCTCTGTTTTGACACTTGAAATACTTCTTCCATCATCCTGCTTTCCTCCCTTGGTGCTTGCAGCTTCAGGAAAAGAAACAACAGGAACCTTTTCAACAGACAACACTTTGTTCTCCATATTGTCCATCTTCGGCAGAGAATCATTACTGGCTTTTACAGACACCTCATCAGCTGTAGCAGTTGCCTCGGTAATAGGCTCGGAGCTGAAGAGTGTAACTCCATTACCTCTGTGTGAGTCATACAGTGAACTCTCCATTTTTTCCACTGACACAGAATCAGTCTGAGGTTTAGCCGAGGCAGTCGCTGGCTCAGTTCCTGTTCCACACATTTCCACAGGCTTTGTTTCTAACTGACAAGCCGCTTCTGCTCTCCTAGGCCCTTTGTTATGTCTTTCTGTCCAACTCTGAGCCTCATTAGTGTGAGGGTCGGCAAGAACGGAAACATTTTCTTGGTGCGTGTGCGTGGTGGTGTCAGGTTGTATTTGACCAGGAGCATCCACTGATGTCAGGCTGTTGTCTGGAGCTGCTTGTGGAACCTGCTCTAAGTTGTTTCTTTTAGCTCTTTCTAAGTCAGCAGTGAGCACCACCTCCTCGGTGTTGGTTTCATCCAGCTTAGCAACACTCGGCTGTTTCTCTGTGTTACTGTGGTCACTCACAGAAGTCTCGGACTTAGTGGTATTTTTGTCTCCGTGAGGAAGCTGCCCTGTTTTTTCTCTCTCTTTCCTCTCACCCAGATTTGCTTTTTTAAATCCTCCCTTCAGTTCTTTTTTTCCGCCCTTCCTCTCAGCCATGTCGGGTTCAATGTCTTTGTGTTGAGGCAGCCGTTTTTTTTTTTTCTGACTTTCAGTTTCAGATTGCACTGAAGGTTCTTTCTCTTTTTGGGGGGGTTCGGCAGGTGATTCACGTTCCATTGAAGGACCCTCTTTAACAGACTGAGTGGGGGAGGAGGGCGATGAAGGTTCTTTGCTGTCCTTTGAGGCTTGTTTACTTTGCTCCTGTGTGAGTACAAGGCTGCCACTCTCTACCTTTTCCTCCTGTTCTTTCTGGGCTGATATAACGGATTCCCTTTCAATGGGCGCCCTTGTTGCACCGTTATAACGAGCAGTATTAGGTTCCTCCCTGTCGACGTACGCCTCAGGCAGTCCCTCCGGTCTGTTGACAGTTCTGTCACTATTCTTCTGTGTAAATGCTGTACCTGAAGCTGTCTTGTGGTTTTCTGATATTCCTTTATCCTTTTTACTATGTTTTTGTTCGACGTCTGCTTGTTTTCCTGATTTGTTTTCCAACGCGTTATCAGATGGTAATGAGACTTTGTCTGTGGGCTGTCCAGAGGCCGACACGGTCACCACAGGATCTTCCACTTGCTCTTGTTTTATAGCCGTGGCCTCTGGCTGACTTGCAGCTTTGTTTTCACTGTTTGGGCTGGCCGGCTCTCTGCTTTTCCTTCTCTTAGAGCGAGAGCCTGTTCTGCTCGGACCTTTGGACTGTGGGCTTACACTGTCAGTTGCCTCTGAAGGATCAACTGCTCTTTTATCAGTGTTATCAAATTTAGAGACAGTGGGTTTATCTTTCTCTCTGCCTTGTTTTGAGGTCTCCCGGTCTGTTGGTTCCACTTCTGGAATGGAAACATCCGTCTTCACAGACTCGGCATCTTGTCCATCAGGTTTCAATGTCGTTCCTGACATTTCTTTTGTTTGAATCTGTTCTTTAGCATCTAGTTGGTCCTGACTGTCCAGTTTTTTCAAATGAGATGCAGCAACCGCCACAGATGACACAGGTCTTTTAGACATTCCTGTCATTGCTGTCTTTTGAGGAAGCTGTGGCGAAGAAACAGTTTTTGCTTTAGCCTCAGATTTTGACGCCTCTGTTAAGTTTCGTATTCGCTCCTTGACTGACAGTGATTTCTCCTCCACCAGTGAAGAAGGTTTAGATCTGGACGGCGTGGCCTGACGATCAGCCGATTTGGATCTCTGGGCTGGCAGCTCATATTCAGCTTTCAGTCTGTCTGTGACTTTTCTCACCGGGGAGACGTCGGCACTTCTTGGGGTCTGGAAGGTCTTTTTGTGAGCTCCCACCAAACCCTGGCGCTCGAAGAGGCCGATCTTATCTGCAAGTTTGTTGACGACTGGTTTAGGCTCTTCTTCTTTTTTCGTCAGCGTAGGTAGTCTTGAAAAATAAAAGAGATTAAAAATTATTGTCTTCGAGTTCTATATAACCAGTATCACCAGTATCATAAATCTTTATCATAAAATGCATTCTGTGCAACAAACTGATTCATACACAGGACTGTACTTTGTTTTATGACTCACTCCTCCGTCCCATTGTAATATTACACCCACAGCTGTAAACACACATTCCAAGCAGTGGCCGTGGTGATGTGTTAGACCAGAGCCTGACATGTGGGTCATAATGTTTGCTAATGCTGCTAGGTGTGACAGTACAAACAACATTCCCATTCATTCCCTTTCTTTCTGACTCACCTTGCATCAATCTCTGTTTTTCCCTTTTTTACTCCTTCTTGTTCTTCTTTTTTGGCGACCGTAAATCCTGATGTAAAATGTTGTTGTTTGTTGTCTTCTGCTGGACTTTGGCCGGGATTCAAAGGCACACATTTTCTGAAAAGCTTCACCTCACTCCGGGAAACCTTGATACTCCTGCGTTTGGACTCTGGTGTTTCCGTCTTCCTTTCTACCATGTAAATACTATCGCTGTCCTCCATGTCTGCTCCTCCATCAACTTCACCTGCTGCAGTGTCGGCAGTGACTGAGTTTGAACCTTGGAGGTTGTCCAGCTGCTTGTCACATGGAGCGTCATTTTCCACTCCTGTAGGTGAGGCCTGAGGGGTGAGGTTGGGGGAGGAGTTTAGATACAGCTCTCTAGCTTGACTTTGTGGACTTTTGCCCTCAGGACTGGGGCCAGTTGTGTTATCTGGTGTTGGGGACAGGGGACTCTGTCCACCATCACCCTGAGAATTCTTCCTGTGTCTGCGCCTGGCAGCATTTTTACGCCCCATTGTGTCCTCCTCTGTTTGTTCTCTATCAGGTTCTGGTTCTGACTGTGAGTCTTTGTTTGATTTCTCTGACACTCCCACTAAAGCATTGTAATAACTCTGGGCCCCAGCCTCAGATTTAATATTTGTCCTTTTGCTCTCTGCACCTACGGAGCTGTGATGTAAATCTACACTGAGTGACGACTTGGCCTTGCAACGAACCTGGAGGCTTTCTGTGACCTTGGTGCGGATAACTTCCTGTCCAAAGTGATGGTCTTTGCCACAGTGAATCACACTACTGGTCTCCTCCAGGTACACATGGAGCGTCTTGCCTGTCTGGGCCTGTGTCTGTGCCTGAAGCTGGGCGTTGCCCTGTTTGAAATAGGAAGAGTGACGTGTCAGATGACTGGCATTCTTCTCAAGATTCCCGCTCGCAGAAGTACCGTTGCTGCTCTCCTCCGTTGCCTTCTTCCCCTGCCCTGTTCTCTTTTTCCTCCACCCTAACTCCTCCTCCTCCTCTTTTGAACCACCCTCTCTTCTCTCAGTGCAGCTCAGAGCAGAGTGGAGTCTGTGGGCAGACTGCGTGGCATCCTTTTCCTCACAAAAGAAGCTGTCTCTTGGGAGACCCACCAGATCGAGCCTGGAGTTATGGTCCTTCTCCTCCTCCTTCTTCTTCTTCCAGTCTTGGTCCCCTGCCTGGATTCCCACAGACTCCTCCTCTTTAATTTCCTTGGCTCCCTCTGTTTTCAGATCCTGATCACTCGTCGGTGACTCATTTTCTGTCGGACTTGTTGGACTTTTCCCTTTCCATGGAGAGAACCAGCTCCCAATGCGACCCAAGACCCCAGTGCTTGGCTGCTCCTCTGGGATCTCAGACTAAACCAAAAAAAAAAAAAAAAAAAAAAAAAAAAAAAAAAAAAAAC